AGGCAGGTCATAAAGTAGATCTTTCCTACTACTTCATATTCTTCAATTCCTCATCAGTGTTGCTAGTAGCATATTTGGAAAGTAGAAGCTAACTATAAATTAGGAGGATGAAAGATCTGTCCCTTTAAGAGACAACTGTGTTATAATCCAAATATATTTAGCTGAATAGTTAAATGGCCATAGGTTGGCCATATAAAATATTCAAGTTTCAGATTTTTTTTTAAAGAGGTGGGGGTCTTGCTGTGCTGTCCAAGCTGGTCTCCAACTCCTGGCCTCAGGTGATCCTCTTGTCTAGGCCTCCCAAAGTGCTGGGATTATAGGCATGAGCCACCATGCCTGGAGTCGGATGTTTTTATTCCAACACTTTGGTGAATTGTTAGTTCTGAAAACAATTGCTGAATACATTACTGCACTGGCTGGCAGTGGAGGAGGGAAGATCAGCGTGATGCTCAAGTCCAAGTGAATGGTTCTTGGTTATAGGGGACAGGCTTGTACTCACATGAACTCTACTAAGGCCAAATCAACAAAATCTCTGCTCTTTTCTTCTCTGGAGTCTGATTTTATATGATAAGACACTAAACACACATGCCTGAATAGAGCTGAATCTTCCCTGGGAAAAACTGGTAATTCTGCTCTCCAGGAATCTAAAAACACTAGATTTGTAACAAGACAGAACAAATCTCAGGTTCCTCTACTGGTGTGATGACAAATTTCCCCAAAGAGATTCTCCATGCATAAGGCTCCCTGAGTGAGAGTCCTCTGATATCTAATCTAGAAGCTTTTAGCTTAGCTAAACCCTCTGGGGCTGAGAGTCCCAGGGGACATGGTCTCAAGGACAGCCCTCAGGATATCCCCCATGGTCTGAAGCCAACAACTTCAGAGAGCAAGGGAAAGAATGGGGAGAAGCCGTGGGACACAAAAGGAAACAAAACCCAAAACACATAATGCATTAAACGAAACTGATTTGATGACATAAATTGTAGGACAAAGCATTTTACCTAAATAGAATGCTTGCCTCACGTCTATGTCTACCGCCTTCTTCAGTATTTTCTCGAAATGATTCCTTCCCTTATTTATCCTTTACTAAAGGCCATGCACCTCTCGAGGTATAGGACGACAGTGGTGACCAAGACTGACAAAGGAAGGTCCTGACCCTCCAGAACACATGGTCAAGTGTGTATGTCTAGGGGCAACAACATGGGAGGACCATAGAACAGGAGGGTAACAGGTTGGGGTAACGGCTCTGAAGGACATAAACAGTGATGTGTGAGAGAGAACACAGGGAAAGGAAACAGCAAGTGCAGAGACTGGAGACAGGAAAAGGCTTGACTTGCATGAGGAAGAGAAAAGAGACCAGTGTGTCTGAAGGGTGATGATAACAGACTAGAGGAAGAGTAATAGGAGAAATCGATTATTATTAATACTTATTATTAGTATGCATATTGTTTAGTATGGGTCAAACCCTGTTTGTTCTAAGCAGTTCATTGACATTAATTCATCTAAATCCTCACTGCATTCCTGTTATTAATTCCATTTTACAGATGAGGAAGCTGAGCATCAGAGACGTTAAGTAGGGCCAGGCGCGGGGTGGCTCACGCCTGTAATCCTAGCACTCTGGGAGGCTGAGGTGGGGGGATCGTTTGAGCTCAGGAGTTCAAGACCAGCCTGAGCAAGAGCAAAACCCTGTCTCTACTAAAAATAGAAAGATATTAGCTGGACAACTAAAAATACATAGAAAAAAAAATTAGCTGGGCATGGTGGCACATGCCTGTAGTCCCAGCTACTTGGGAGGCTGAGGCAGGAGGATCACTTGAGCCCAGGAGTTTGAGGTTGCTGTGAGATAGGCTGATGCCACTGCACTCTAGCCTGGACAACAGAGTGAGACTCTGTCTCAAAAAAAAAAAAAAAAAAAAAAAAAGAAAGAAAGAAAAAAGAAAAGAGAGAGGTTAAGTAATCTGCCCAAAGTCACACAGCAACCACAGAGCAAAGACCAATTCCCACATTCTGGGAAGTCTGGCTCCAGAGTCCATGCTCTGACCCTTGGCTATACTGCCTCTCAGTAAGGTTGAAGAGCATGTTTGGCCACACCTGACATCTCTGAATCATTACCACCTCCCCAGACCCTCTCCTGAGCATAAAATATATTAATAAGAAGAGAGAGCTAATAGCTAACTTTGAGTCAGTGACTGATTAAAGTCTGAGATGTTTCTAATTGAAAGAGGAAAAAAAATTTGGGAAACACCCCCCCAAAATTTCTTTTCTTTTTAAGGAATGTCAGCACTGCAGTATGATAAATGTAGAGATTACAGGATGGAAAAAAATATCCTCCAATCTTTTAGGACATACAGGTTTGCAAGGAACAAAGAAAGACAGAAATTGGTACTTCCTTTTTTATATCTTAAGTCCCACATACCTGTCCCTTAACTGGGATTACACAGCAATCTAGAATCATAGGGAAACTAAGCTATGACTTCTAACAAGAGGAAAAAAAATCTCGAATGAGTCACAGTGACACTACTTGGATTTTCCATCACAAGAAATGCAAGCAGACGGTAGTTAATTCTTACCAGCTGCTGAATCCCTGCTAGAGTACCAGCCATTCCAAAAGAAGGAACCACCTAGGCTGCTAGTTTTTGCCTGAAACAGGGGTTTGACCTTTTCATGCCTGTCTGTACCGAGAATGAAGCTGTAGCACAATCATTCACATCTCTTAAGCTGGAGAAATAAAATATCACATTTTTTTTTTTTTTTTTTTTTTAGTGGATGAAGGCACCAAAATTTTAGCACCCAAGTTCCAGTTACAGAGCAGGTCAACTCTAAAAAGAACTCAGAGGGTGGTTACAGGAGGACCTATGATTCCAAATGCTGAAATCCTTAAAGGTATTTGCAAATATGTTTAAAAGATTAAATGTTGCCTCATTACCACTTTTCTCCCCACAAAGACAAGGTAAGAGAGAGTGAGGGAAACTCAGTCAGGAATTTTATTTTACATAGCTATAATCCACCTGATGCTAGCTGCTTCGTTCTTCTTGTCCAGGCAGATGACATGTTCATAAGCAGCATTGATAAATTCAATTGCAAAAACAGTAGGAGTATACCCTTCTAAGCATATATTGCTTTAAAATGCTAAATGGTTCATGACCAATTGTGGTCAGCAGTGGTGTTCTGAATACAGATTCAGAATATTTAAGTATAAATGTAGGAAACAATATGTTTAAATACAGCTAGATGTGCAGAAGGCACTAAATTACGTTTGACAGGTTGACTTGACATCTACCTCATTTCAGACTGCTCTGGGGGCTCTTCAGCATTTGTCTGGAAAAATACATGTATGCTCCTTCTCTGTCCTAACCTCCAGGTGAGGAGCTTTCCTTTCAGGATTGTGTCTCCTCAGAACTCTACGCCAGCGGGAAGAAGTCTAGATAAAGTGGAAGACTACCTTTCTCCAGTTCTGTTCCTTAATACAGCAGTCCCCAACATTTCTGGCACCATGGACTGGTTTCATGGAAGACAATTTTTCCACGGAGGGTAGGGACGGCAGAGCTGGTCCCTAACAGACTGGTGCCTGGGTGTTGGGGACCTCAGCTTCACTCTAATGAGGCTTCTAGAGCACAGTTTCTATGGCTGGCCATGTTTCCTTTTCGTTATATATATAGTAACACTGGTTCAAAAAAAAAAAATCACTTGACAAAGTTTTCTATTTCTGTAACATTGTGTCAGGAGGGAAGCCTAACAAAATATCTTCCCAGGGGTGAAAGTATTTGTCTGGATTTTAGATGTTGGTTTTAACTCTGTTTAAATTTAACTCCTGTGAGAATAGACATTCTCTGTCTCCTGACTCAGATAAGATATTCTTTGAACCCACTGAAATAAAAACTCAGCCTGTGACTCTGACGGATAATTTTGGCTGCTTCCCAGAGACTGCAGGTTCCAGGTGATGTACTGATTTCCCAAGAGAAGCCCTTGCTCCAGCTCCCACCCGCGAGGAATCTAAAATCTGCAGCAACTCGGCATGGCCACGCCTCGGCCCACAGCACATACATCTGCAGAGCAGGAAGCGGCCTTCCCCTCGAGGACACCTTTCTCCAGTAAAGGCACTAAGATTTCAGCTCCTGTCCTACCCACCCTCGCCTCTGCTTTTCTTTACCTCCTTTCCCATACTCGTCCCGACGCTACAATGTCGCCTGTGAACTTGTGACTCCCAAGGAAAGAATGAGCAGAAGCCGCAACTTGAAGGAATGACTCAGTAAGGAGTCTCCGACGTCTTCCACCGCCCTGCAGCTGCCCCACCGCTGCGGCCCTGGGCCTCCCTGCTGCTGTCACACCAGATAAGCTGGGACATTTTCTGAAATCCCAGGAAGGACATGAAATGAAGATTCTCCCACCCCCACAGAGGTGGCTCCTGCTCTAAGGCAGCGGTAGGAAACGATCCACTTAACAAGTTCCAATACAAATGGGCAAACGTTTCTATGAGGCTGGAGGAAAACAAACACAATTCCCTAGGGGCTCTCCAACGCTCCCTGGCAACACGTCCACATCCGGAGCGCTCGCAGGCCACTTTCGAAACCAGAGTCACCGACCAGGCCTGCACAGCCAGCTCCCCCTGCAGTGCCCCGCTCGCCCATCCCCTGCACCAGAGCTGCAGCCGGCGAGGTCCGGCCAGAAAGAGGGAGCCCCAGGACTGCACAGCCGGGAAAGAGGAAGAGAGGAAAGAAAGGGATTGAGGAGGGGTTGACCTTGAGAATCTCCCTGAGTTATAGATAACGAGGCCCAGGCTCGCTCAGACGCCCCAAACCCAGGGAGAGAGGATACAGGGCAGACGGAGGGCAAAGAGGATGGAAAACGCAGAACTTTAATCTACTGATGGGGGTGGGGGTGCTAGAAAGAGAGCGAGTCCCTCTTCATCTCGGGGTAGCGGAGATATCGACAGTGCCCAGAGCAGAAGCTGGAGTGTCCCCGAAGGGTCAGTGCCCTTGCTGCCCGCAGGTGCTGGCACTCACCTGGATCACCTTCGCGCGGCTGATGCAGGTTCGGACCGAAGCTGCGCGGCGCGGAGTGGGTGCCGCGCCCTCTGCCTGGGGCGGGGCGGGGCCTGGAGCAAGCCACGCCCCCGCCTGGGGCAGCGCACGGCCACGCCCCCAAGTTGGGGCTCCAGGCGCAGAGTCACGCTTTAAAGTTTGCCAACTCCGGGCTGTTCGGGAGGCGGACACTGAATTTTCTTCCTGCCCTTGGTGATCCATGGATTTGCTCCTCTCACTCCCAAATCCACAAATCTGCTCCCCCAGGTGCCTTCGTGGCCGCCGCCTTCCTAAACTGTCCCGGCAGTTCATGCTTGTCAGATTGGGTTTGCGGAACAGTGGCGCGTTAATAATTTATCCCCAGCAAGGCCACCGTAGCTTGGTTTTAGGCGCTTTGGGGTAAAGGGTGAGGCGCAGGCTAGCACGGCGCGTGCGCGGAAGGAGGCGCGCCCGAGTCAGTGCCCTGTGCCGGCGCGTGGCTGGGGCGCGGCGGCCGGAGAGAGAGGATTTAGGGATGTTAGGGCCTGTGAGCTTCCCTAGCTAATAAGTATTAGCGTTGGTTTTGCCGAGAGCTGGAGCCGAGCCCTGCCCGCGCGGTGGGCCGCACCCACCCTCGCCCACCCGGTCTGCGGGCCGCCTCACGCGGCCCCGGGGTTCTCTCTCCAGAGCTGGACGATACCGCTTCCGGGGCCCGCAGGCCTTTAGTAGTGAACACACGGCTCGGTGACGCCCTCGTGTAAAATCATAAACCAATAAATCGATTTGGCCCCAAAAGGCAGGACAGCTGGAATGGGGGGGCTTACAAGGTTGTAGGTGGGTTTAGTATTCTTTGAGTTGTAATTGGTTAAAGAAAGCAAGCAAGCTTTGTCAAAAGACTTGCACTCGTGGAAAGATATGCTTGAGTTAAGATGAGGGGGTCTGTTAATTAGAGAGCGAGCCACAATAGACCTACTTAAAGTGATGTTAAGTAAATTGATATCCTGCAGGCATGATTTAACTTTTGCCTTGCCACGGCCTTAGGTCTAGTTTGCAAGTAGCCTAAACTCCAAAAGGGAGGCGGTATAAGGGGGCTTGTCTCACTCTCCTTCCCTTCATGGCCAGGAACTGAGTTTTAAGGTTTTTTGGGGGCCTGCTTGGCCATGAGGGGGGTTTAAGATTTTATTTTTGGTTTACACTCCCTTCTTTCTTGGGAAAATTCATCATTTTTTGTATGTTCTTTAAAGGTAGTACCTACTATAATACATAAGTTATAGGGCCAGGTCTCCCTGTCCCTCACATCAGAGGTGTTAAGGGGGTGGGCATGTGCCTTTGGCTCTGCCAGTGAGGTGCTCGCTCTGAAGACACTGACCCTTGAGAGAATTAACAGCAACATGGGATGTTTGGAGGTCTCATTCATTACAGTGGCTGTCGTGGGCGGACCAGACCTGAGAGTCTTTTCTGACTATTCCATTAAAAATTACACCCTCCCTTTTCTCAAGGCATACCTTATCCATTTCCTTGTTTTACTTTCTACCATCTGAAATATTTTTTATCTAATTATTTGTTTATTATCTGGCCTGCCTATTCAAATTTAAATACATGAAGGTGGAGATACAGTCTGTCTATTTACTGCTGTATCCCTAGTGCTCTTAAGTGCCTGCCATAGAGAAGGCACTCAGTCATTGTTTAAATGAATGAATAAAATGATTCATTTCTGTTGCCTATCCCCCTGGAGATCCCTGGGTTTCCAAACTTTTTAGGAATCCCATACCTCCAGCCCACCCTTGAGTCTGTTAGCCCTGATTGCCTTCCAAGAATTATCCCATTCAGCAAGTTAGCTAGAGTTACCTTCTACGCACGCTTACTATGTTATAGGCTTCTCACACACAGAATGTCCAAAGCCACATTCATTACCTTTCCAGTCAAACTTTTATGTATTTCGGCAAAGGACAACATCTAAGTAATTACCTTAGCTGGAAACTTAGCATCACTCCTTCTCCTTCACTCCTTGGACTTGGGAATCAGACAGTCCTGCAACAGAATGCAGAAGAGCCATTTACGTATCTGCGAGACTGGGAGAAATTGTATAAGTTCTTTGAAACTTGTTTTGCCTTTTTATCTGCAAAATTAGCACATTAACACTAATTTTACTTGGCTGTTGTGAAGATATACAGAGTTTGGCCCTACTGTAGGCAGTTAATAAATGGTATCTATTATTATTACCAATTCTGTTGATGACATCTTAAAATAGTTTCCTTTCTAGTCTCTCTGCCCTAGTTCAGACCTGAAGTCATCTCTGACCTGAACAATTACAGTAACCTTTTAACTGGCTTTCCTTTCAAGATTCATCACCAACTGTTGCCACAGTTATCTTTCTAAAGCAGATCTCTTCTTCAGTGACTGTGACAAATGTTTTAGGATGAAGTCCACACTCTCAAACATGGCATTTCAAGATCCTTCACAATCTACCCTCAAACTACTTTTCCAGAATCCTCTCATTTAACATTAACCTAAATATTTGTTAAGTGCCTATTGGATACCAGGTACTAATAGAACTTACATTTTAATAGGGGACTCTGTCAGTAAAAACAATAAGGTAATCACAGATTGTGACTTTCTTAACCTGTTTTGTGCTGCAATAGCAGAATACCTGAGACTGCAATTTATAAAGGACAAATTTATTGGCATTTTTGCATTTGGTATTTGAGTTTACCATTTGTAATTTTGTCTACCTATATAAAACTCTGTGTAAATTAAAGATAGCTGTTTGCTTTCCTGTACTGCAAATATCTTTCCCTAGTTTGTCAATGATTTTTAAACTTTATTATTTATTTTTGCTCAAAGAGAAATGAATAAATTTGGTGTGGTTAAATCTTTTTTTTTTCCCAGACAGGCATCTCTCTGTTGCCCTGACCAGAGTGCAGTAATACCATCATAGCTCACTGCAGCTTCAAACTTCTGGACTGTCTAAGCCTCCTGAGTAGTTAGGACTACAGGTATGTGCCACCATGCCCAGCTTTTCTATTTTTTACAGAGATGCGGTTTTACCATGTTGCTCAGGACTTTGCAGGAGACAGAGCTAGAAATATATGAACATACATACATACATATACAAACACTCTAACATACACGCATATACACAACCTAAATCTTTTTTCTAAAGTCACTCCATCTATACATATTCAAAATCATGAGTTCACACCAATATTTCTAGTTCCTAACCAATACTGCGGGACTTTTTCCAGGCTTTGCTTTTCTGTATTTGTAACTCTCTTCTCAGATAGTGAGAAACTTGGATTCCATTTACTCTCAATACATTTACTTCTTCAGTTAATCCCCCAGTGTGTAACCTATCTCCTGGCCTCTCAGACTGTCTCCTTGGCCAGCCCCAACCATGCTGGCTGAAGTCCTACCAAACACACCAACCATACCAGTCAAATCATCAGCCCTAGTGGTCCTGGCCACACTGGCTGATTCTTTGGAGCAGGGGCCACCAATCATGCCAACCGATGCCCCAACCCCAACTCCACTGACTGCATTGGCTGAACCAATCAATCAAAAGGATATTTTTTAAAAGCCCAGATTGTGCTGCTATGATTAAAATAGTCTGTTACTAGAGAAGAAAAAGACATCAGTGGAACAGAATGGAGAATCCAGAAATAGATCTAAATACACATGGCATTTTAGTTCATAGTAAAGGTGCTATTTCAAATCAGTGGATTTGGTGGTGTACTCAGTGATTGACTGATTAGTCAATCTTTCAAGTGCCATCAAGGTATGAGAATCTAGTTTCCAGAAGCAATAATAGCCCTGTAGCAATGAGCATGCCTAGTGCCTAGATCTTGATTTCTAAATATTACTTTCCATGAAAGGAAACAGGATCCTTGAATAAATGGCTGATTTCAGATATGGAACAAACAAGTATAAGATTAGCCCAGAAGGTATTTTTGTGCCAGAAAGTAAAAATTGCTTGAAGAATAATAAGGGGTATTATCTTTTTTATTCATAAAGACACAGAAATCAGCTTAAATGAAGCTTCCACTGACCAAATCTGGGATAATTTAAGCATCAAAACAAATATTGATAATAACAGACACAATCCACTGAAAAAAATAGAAATCCATGAGTCTGTACTGATATGAGCCTGAATAAATACATGAGTAGTTGGACAAAATGGATAAATCTACCTTTCAGTAAGATGCCAACTAACAAATACAGAGGAAATTATAGAATTAGGATCATTATGCAATGAGTATGGTAATAATTAATTCAAGCAAGACCCATCAATTGATGCTACAACTACTGGATGAATGATTGATAAGAAATAGGGTATTTATATAATTCCAAAGTTATTTCCACAGACTATATATTCTTTTTTCTTTTTTTTTCTGAGACAGAGTCTCACTCTGTTGCCTGGGCTAGAGTGCCGTGGCATCAGCCTAGCTCACAGCAACCTCAAACTCCTGGGCTCAAGCAGTCCTTCTGCCTCAGCCTCCCGAGTAACTGGGATTACAGGCATGTGCCACCATGTCCGGCTAATTTATATATATATATTTATGTTTTGTTATTTTTTTAGCTGTCTGGCTAATTTCTTTCTATATATATATTTTTAGTAGAGATGGGCTCTCACTTTTGCTCAGGGTGGTTTTGAACTTCTGAGCTCAAATAATCTGCCTGCCTCGGCCTCCCAGAGTGCTAGGATTACAGGTGTGAGCCACCGCGCCCGGCCACAGAACTATATATTAATGCCAAATACTTATCAGTTAATTTTACAGCAGGGAGATCAGGCAGACACTATCTTATAATAAAAGTTAAAATATAACCAGTAATAGGACATATGAACTCTGTATACTTCCTGATGGGATGCCATTAGAATATGCTATCACTTTTAGGGTATTTCTGTCAAAAAATGTATAACTTATATGTAATTATAAGGGACTTTCTACAAAGTGAGTGTCCTGCTATCTTTAAAAATGTCAAGGTCATAAAAAATAAGGAAAGACTGAGAACTGATTCAGATTGAAGGAGACTGGAGAGACATGACAACTACATGTCATGTGTGATCCTGAATGAGATCCTGGACCTATAGTAAGTATTATTAGG